TCGCTTTCTGTGTCTTGAAACAAGCAAAAGGGGCACCCTTACTAAGTGTTTTCTTGTGGTGTCACTTTTCTTCGCTTGAAGATGCAGAAAACGATCCAAAAAGGACACCCGTTCCATCGCCCATGTGTGGGGAGAGAGATAAATCATGAGCATCAGCTGGGTTTGCTGCCAATCCAAAATGGGCGCCCCTTTTAATCGCTTGCTGTGTCTTCAAACGAGCAAAAGGGACACCCTAAGTGTTTTCTTGTGGTGCCCTTTTCTTCGCTTGAAGATGCAGAACACGATCTTAAAGGACACCTGTTCCATCGCCCATATATAGGGAGAGAGAGAGAGAGAGAGAGAAATCATGAGCATCAGCTGGGTTGGCTGCCAATCCAAAACGGGCGTCCCTTTTAATCGCTTTCGGTGTCTTCAAACGAGCAAAAGGGACACCCTAAGTGCTTTCTTGTGGGGTGTCCCTTTTCCTCGCTTGAAGATGCAGAAAACGATCAACAAGGACACCCATTCCATCGCCCATATATATAGAGAGAGAGAGAGAGAGAAAGAGAGAGAAACAAAATCATGAGCATCAGCTGGGTTGGCTGCCAATCCAAAATGGACGTCCCTTTTAATCGCTTTCTGTGTCTTCAAACGAACAAAAGAAAACACTTAGGTTCCTCACTTGAAGATGCAGGAAACGGCCCAACAAGGACACCCGTTCCATCGCCCATATATGGAGAGAGAGAGAGAGGGAGAAGGAAAAAATCATGAGCATCAGCTGGGTTTGCTTACATGTTCATTGTTATTCCTTTTGTTTTTTCTAACGGAAATGAACAAGAGAAGAGAAAAATAAGAACCAGAGGAAAGATGAAAACGAGCACCATCTTCTCTTTGCCTGATTTTTGCATTTCGCCGGTCCTCATTTCTCTTCCATTCTTTTCATTGCTCTTCCATTTAGAGTTGCATTCCTGTTGATCTCTCCTCTCTCCTTTCTCTCTCCCTTCTCTTCTCTTGTTCTCCTTTAAATCTCAAAAACACACAGTGAGGAAGACAAGCTTCGAGGCGCTGGAGCCGTGCCGTTTTCAGGCATCGGCTTGGTCAACGAGTTGCTATTTGTTGTCCGCAAAGTTAGTGTCTTAAGATTGTTCACCGATTGTTGTATGATGGTCACTGATTATCCGAGAAGTTTTCGCGGGTCTTTTGCAATGGGTGCTGTCGTTGCTTTTTTTTGTTGGCTCCTTCTCGGCGGGGCAGTGGCTTCTGCGGTCATGGGAGTGTCCGTGGCGGAGGTGGACTGTAGCGGGTTGTGCGGCTGCATGATTCCAATGCTTGCGGTAAAGGCATGTGTCTCAAGGTGATTTTCTGCGGGAGTGTTTTCTGCACGAGACGGTTCAGGGCACTGCAGGACTCGCGTCCACTTCAGTTTGTGAAGAAGAGTACGAAGTTCGACAGATTGTCGAACCGACGTCTGTACGCGTTGAATGATAATGTAGATGTCTTGAAAGAGTTAGGGCATCTTCATGAGAAGAAGCCTCTTTCAGTAGCAGTGATCTTTGCCGACGCACACCAAGCAACAATTGTGCACGACAGCTGGCGAGACTTGGCGTCGGCCGAAGCAGTTTCCCGAGTCAGGAAGACAAGCTCCGAGGCGCCGCAGCCGTGCCGTCTTCAGGCATCGGCTTGGTCGACCAGTTGCTATTGGTTGCCCGCAAAAACAGTGTCTTAAGATTGTTCACCGATTGTTGTATGATGGTCACTGATTACGCGAGACGTTTTCGCAGGTCTTTTGCAATGGGTGCCGTCGTTGCTTTTTTTTGGTCGGCTCCTTATCGGCGGGGCAGTGGCTTCTGCGGTCATGGGTGCGTCCGTGGCGGAGGTGGACTGTAGCGGATTGTGCGGTTGTATGATTCCAATGCTTGCGGTAAAGGCAGTGATTTTCTGCGGGGGTGTTTTCTGCACGAGACGGTTCAGGGCACTGCAGGACTCGCGTCCACTTCAGTTTGTGAAGAAGAGTACGAAGTTTTACAGGTTGTCGAACCGACGTCTGTACGCGTTGAATGATAATGTAGATGTCTTGAAAGAGTTAGGGCATCTTCATGAGAAGATGCCTCTTTCAGTAGCAGTGATCTTTGCCGATCCACACCAAGCAACAATTGGGCACGACAGCTGACAGGACACTTCAATGTGCGCACAACGGTGCGCAGCCCGACCCGAGAGACCGCTTGGATCATCCCCCACGCAAGAGCAGAAGTGATAGCTAGTATTCGTTGCCAACATCTGACTGCGTCTGTACGTTCACATCAAAAAAGAGTAAATTATAAATCGTAAACCCTAAACCCTAAGAGAACGAAATTGGTGAATTTGTGCTTCAGGTTTCTTGGATTTAGTTTGTTTATAGGTTTTTAAATACAAAACAAGAGAGAACGTCAAATAATACATAAAGGTCCATGCCACATATATATATATATTTTAAGGGGCTGCGCCCATGGGCGGGCAGCGCACGCAGAAGCCCGGGGCGAGCAGTTTCTAAGCATGTTGAGGCCCCTATAAACTCCCTTAAAATCTCTAAGCGTTAAGTTTCTAAGCATTTTCAGGCCCCTAAACTCCCTTCAAATCTCTAAGCGTTTGAGGCTCCCAGACTCCCTTAACGCTTCTAAGCACTTTATAAGGCCCCTAAACTCCCTTTTTCCTAGCCCCGGGCTTAGACACGTCGCTTCTGCCCGCCCTTTGGGGGGCATCATGCTCCTGATGCGCCCCGGGGTCCCGCCCCGGGAGCCGCTGATGCTCCTGATGCGCGCCTGGGGGTCCCGGGCTGGACCCGCTGATGCTCATGATGCGCGCCCTCTGGGGGCCTCCGTGGCGACGCAAAAAACCACGAAAAAAAAAAACCGTTCACCGGCGGCACGCGGGGGTCGGCGGCACTGGCGTCCGGCCTAATTCTGCTTCGCAGAAGGCCAGAGGCCAGCAAGGCTATTCCCGGGACGACCCGGGCTAAAAGGTCCGCATTTGCTCGGTCCTTTGGGGACCTCGCGCTGCCCGATTTAATGGCTACCGCCAGTGCCGCCGACCCCAAATTTGCCAAGGTCTAAACCCTCCTGAGCTCCAATTCCTAAACCGGCCATGAGCCAGTAGGCACAGGGCCAGGGGACCATCAAGGGCATGGAGCCATTGGGGGCCATGGCCAGCTGGCCAGAGAGGGGGAGGTTAGGGGGACGGTGATGGTGAGGAAGTGAGAGGGTGGGCGGAGCGGGCGGGAAGGGCGGGGCGGGGTGGCGAGCGGGTGAAAGCGGTGAGAGGGGGGACAGAGATGGGGAAGGGGAGCGGTCGGGGGGGGGGGGCAAAGGGGGGGGGAAGGGGTTGGTGGTGGGAGTGGGGGGGAGGGGGGTCGGTGGAGGAGAGGCTGGAGAAGGGTGGATTGGGGGTGGGGAAGGGGTAGGGGAGGAGGATGGAGTGGAATGGGAGGGTTAGGGGCGGGGAAGGGGTTGGTGGTGGGTGGATTGGAGTACGGTGAGAGGGGGGGCAGGGATGGGGAAGGGGTAGGGGAGGAGGATGGAGTGGAATGGGGAAGGGGTTGGGAAGGGGAAGGGTAGAAGGGGTTGGTGGTGGGAGGGTTAGGGGCGGAAGGGGTTGGTGGTGGGTGGATTGGGGGTACGGTGAGAGGGGGGGCAGGGATGGGGAAGGCTTTAAAGTCAGTCATCTGATCAAGTCTAGAGTGGTTGGGAAGGGGAAGGGTAGTGGGAGGGGGGGCAGGGGAAGGGGTTGGTGGTGGGAGGTTAGGGGCGGAAGGCAAGGCCAAGTGGAGAGGTGGAGTGGAATGGTTGGGAAGGGGAAGGGGGAAGAGGTTGCGGTGAGGGCAGGGAGGGTCTTCACTGACGCCGCCCCGCTGTTGCTGGGGTCGGCGGATATGTATACAGTTTATGGTGAGTGTTTCCTCCAAAGTTGGCCATTTGCCATGCAAGAAGTTTCAACAACCCGAACAATCCTTGTTGTGCAATATTTGATCGAACAAATCTCAAAAAATGCGCTGAAGGCACACTAAAGCACGAAAGTGGCACAAACTACAGAACCATACACATGCACAAAATATATATATATATATATGTATATGTATATGTATATATATATGGAGCTAATCGATGTGTGCAATATACACCCCCTACATAAACGGCCACAGCAAGGAAGAACCACTCTCAAGGAAGGTTAGGGCTTCTGACCCAATCAGTTTCTAGGCCTTAGCTGCCTTAGCTCAGTATTTAGGGTCTACCTTCATCCATCGTTTCTTTGGAACCGTTAGGCTTTGGCTCCCTGGGTGCCGCTACTCCAACCAGGCGCGCGCACAGTTTCCAAATTCAGTTCAGGCACCAGAAGTTCAGAGAAGCTCAGTGCAAGTCGGCCAAGTCGGCATGGGGAAACGATGCAATCTGGAGCTGGAGGACTCAGCAGAGGAAGCGTCCAGCTGACGAAGCATGCTTCGTGGACGAGGAGTCAGAACCGCTCAGCATCACAAGTATAGTCATGCTTTTTGTGCTGCTGTGTCAGTATGCAGCGAGAACATTGCTGAGAGTTGGGAGTTGAGGTTTCGCACGCCGGAGTCATCTGCCAGGCCTCTCCCTTTCAGTTGAAGAGCAAGGAGTGTCAAAAAACATTCTACAACATTTTCACGCAGGCTACATGCACATACTTCAGGCTTAAGACATACATACGTAGCTCAAGTTAAGCACATTCAAGAACAATCGCAGCAAGCCCGAAGAGATGGAATGTGTGTTTGTATGCTTCAGCTCCACGGCGGGCGCGGACATCGCAGACACGGTGATGCCTGCGTGGACGCCATCTCGGCGCAGGTGCCCGCGAGGACAGTCCCAGGCGGAGCCGGGGATGGGGCGGGTGTAGAAGGCTTACATATAGCAGGGGAGCTTCAGAAGAAAGGAGTAAAAACCAAGAAGCAAACTTAACACGTATGTTGTGGGGCAACGCACTGGTATCTCAAGGCCAGCCCGGTTGAACTCGAGCACAATGAGCGTCTAACGCCTATCCGAGAGGCCTGGGCACAAAGCCATGCTTGAAGTCTGGTATGCTTTTCCGCTGGTAGCTGCCAGGGAAGGATGCTCCGAAGGAACGACACCCCAGGCAGCAGCGCTGAATCCACTGGGCAGGAGCTTCCTGTCGTTTGCTGCATCATGCTCCAGTTGGTTTTTGTTTATGAGGCCCTTCAAGTATTCCGTCAGACTGACAGCAGATGATCCATGATCCATGCAGACAGCAGGACTGCGATCAAGAGAACAAGCCGCCAGAGCTCCAAGATGAGGTGGAAGATTTCGAGATCGCAACGTGTCAGCTCCCATTCGCATCTGCACTGGCATTTGCTGTATGTTGCTGATGGCTTGAAGAGTCTTGAAGTCCTGGCGCAATTGATCATGGCCACACCGCCACCCTGAAATGGACGATGCTTGCGTGAAAGCAAACATCTGCTCCAGACTCCACGAAATTCCCAATCCCTTAACCTTGGTTTCCGACTTCAGCTGGTTCTGTTTGTGAGTACAGCGGTTGACAATGATGCAAATCCCGACTGAATACGCTGGGGACATTTGACATCTGAGCAAAAGAAGACTGACAAAGTCAAAATGGCGCCCTCCAGCCACCGCGTGATCTTTTGAGCTTTAAACCCAAAGCCCCAAAGCCCTATCGAACCCCAACTCCTACCCATAAAGCCCTAAAGCCCTAACCCTGACGAACTCTAAATCCTCAGAAGCTCTAAGCCCTACAGGCTCTAGCACCTTAAGCCTTAAAACCCTAAACCCCAATAACCCGAAAAATGAAGCCCCAAAGTCCCCATTCCGTGGTGTGGGCAAGTCGAGCCCCTGGCACGTTGTCATACTACATTACGACCACTATTCTACTCGTAGCTACTACTATTATGGCTACTACTGCTACTGCTGCTGCTACTGCTGCTACAAGTACTAGTACTAGAAAAGAACTACACTATCACCAGCGCTACTTCTACACCACGCTATACTATGGGCAGCTGGGGCCTACTTCAAGTATTTTCACACAGCACTCACCAGTACACAGTAGTTCACAGTTCACCTTTCACGTTACCGAAAACGGCTGAAGGGGGGTCTCGGAGTCGGTGTGGTCCCTTTTTTTCATGATTCTATTGACTGCCCTGAGCTTACCAATGCAAGGCAGCGACAATCGGGGGTGTTTTGCTTGGCACTTTACTTGGTGCAAGATAATCCCCAAGTAAGACCGATGAAGATCACATGTGCTCAAAAATGCACATCGTGTGTCTGAGAAACAACCTCCTGCTCCATTGCTGAGAGGGAGGCCTTGGAAGGTCCAAAAGGACCACAGCTTGTGTGGACCCCGTGACATGCGGTGCAGATTTTTGCCGTACATGAACAGAATGGCATGATCTTCAATGCAACACGTAGCATTGTAAAGAGTTAGTCCGAACGATTGCTGCACAATCGTGGCAGATCTGAAGACGTCAGAAGGCTCTTTATGGCATGGAAATTAAGCTCATGTCAATTTGGCCGAATTTTCAAGAAGCCGATGGTGTTGCATCGTGAGCGCAGCACGACAACTGCTTTGCCGCGGGATTTTCAACGCATGACTTTGCGAAGATTTCTGAAGTGCCGGCATGTGAGGCCTTCTGCACCCAGTCACGCATGCAACATCATGCAACGATGATACGATCAGTAAGAGGCACCAGGGTACAATGCACTCGACTTCTGTCAACGTCACTTCGGCAGACTTCTGCGTGCTGTCGGCATGTTGGCAGAATGGGCAGGCTTCAACTCCTTCAACTCCAGAACCTGGGGCCAGGGTCCTGCGCTCTCCTGGTTGGAGGCCTGGACGGAGAGCGCTGGAGCTGGGAAACGTTCTCCAGGCACGGACGTTGAATCTTGACAATCTTGAAAGGTGAAGACAGGGGTCTAGTAAATCTAGCAATTACATGACGAGTATGACGAGTATTGTACAGTAATGTACAGTATTGTAGTGTTGTATGCCTGGTGAAAGGACCTGGCTCTGGATGTGCCCGAGGAGTTCGCGGATCAGGCCTGGAATGAGAGCTTCTCGTAGCATCCCATAGCAACTGTGCGCTCCCCTCTTGTGGCAGAGAGAGACGGCACCTTTGTTTTTTCGCAGAGTTTCGCAAACCTTCGCAGGGTCGGGCTCCAGACTCGCCGGCTCTGGAGGGATCACCCCGATCCCGATCGATATCCCGATCGCCACTCAGATCGCCGCCTCGATCGCCACCCCGATCGCAGAGGGACCAGCCAGCAAAGAAGGCGAATGCGGCGATCCGCACGCGTTTCATGCTGAGTATTATCTTGTATTCGATGAATGATGTCCGGTGTCAGAATCTGCTGGAGTTGCTGGATGAGCGCATAGCAGCCAATGAGGGTGGAAGGCCGGTTCCGACTTGTCGTTCCGACATGCTTCTGAAGTGGACGAAGACCGTGTGAATGTGAGAACAAGCACCTTACACGCTGGGCAGGTACGATTTCGACATATATGTCGACCCAGAAAACCGGTGAGGTGGGATGGTCGAGTGATGGTCAGCTGTGCTATGATGAGCTGTGGCTTGTGTACGGCGGGAGTCTCCAGCGTGCGCTTCAGAAAGTCTCTGCAGGAGGGCGATCTTTGGAGCAGTTTTTTGTTTCACGCCGCAGTGTCGATAGACACGTGGTCATTGGTCATGCCAAGCCCTGAAAGGTGCATTTAGTCGGCAGTGGCAGAGCTGCTGTCGGCAAATTCAACATTAGAGCGTTTGACACTGTAAGCCGCGCAGGCTATACAGTTCACGCTGTGCTTCTGGCAATGCTGGCCTCTGCGCTGCGGAGAGGGGAATGTGGGAGGGGGTCTAGGGGAACATTAGACAATCATTGCCACGTAAAATCACTGGCGCGAAGCATCTTGAAAGCTGTTTGTGTGCGGCTTTTTTGCACGACTGAGAGCGCCTGCGTCGGTGTAGTGTACGTGCACGCTGCTGTCTCAAGGATCCCGTAGCTGATTGCCAATCTAACCCATGGCAGCAAGAATGGCTTCTCCAGCTGTGGGACTCAGTCCGGCCTTCACCTTGATTAGCGCGTCACAGCCAGCCCAGCGTCTGCGAGCTGCGCCAGCCCAGACGCCCGTACAGTCCACAGCTTCCGCAGGGAGGCCTTCCGGGAGCTTCCTCTTCAGCGCCTCAGCCTTCGGTGCTGCAGTGGCCTCCGGACTTCAAGCCAGTCGCTTCGGAAAAAGGCGCAGTGGCACGGTGTGCCGTGCAACGGCCGTTTTGAACAACGCAGAGAAGCTGGCGGTGCCTGCGAAAATCCTCGACCATGTTGACATTTTCATATTCGACTGTGATGGCGTGATCTGGCGTGGAGACTCTCTTATTCCAGGCATTCCGCAGGTGATTGCCAACTTGCGGGCTGAGGGCAAGAAGCTCTTCTTTGTGACAAATAACTCGACCAAAAGCAGGGCAGGGTACAAGTCCAAGTTCACATCCCTAGGCCTGGATGTGCAACCTGAGGAAATCTTCTCCTCATCCTTCGCTGCTGCAGCCTACCTAGAACAAACGAACTTCAAGCAGACGGGCAAGAAGGTTTACATCATCGGCGAAAAGGGAATCGGTGAAGAACTGGATCTCGTGGGCGTCCCCTGGCTGGGCGCAGAGGCAGACAAGGATCACCAGCCCAATATGGGCTCTGGTGGCAGGGTGGAGGTAGACCACAACGTGGGTGCAGTGGTGGTTGGCTTTGACCGGCACATCAACTACTACAAGCTGCAGTATGCCCAATTGTGCTTGAACGAGCTGCCAGGATGCGAGTTCATCGCCACGAATTTGGACCGTGTGACCCACCTCACCGATGCGCAGGAGTGGGCTGGAAATGGAACCATGGTCGGAGCTGTTTCCGGATGCACTGGCCGGGAGCCTACATTGGTGGGCAAGCCGGCCCCACTCATGATTGATTACATCTCCAAGAAGTACGGTATCACGGACCGGTCTCGCATCTGCATGGTCGGCGACAGGTTGGACACGGACATCGCTTTCGGCCGCAACAACGGACTGAAGACCTGTTTGACTCTTTCCGGCGTGACTTCTGAGGACGAGCTGATGGACCGCGTGCCTCGCAAGAAGGGAACGGAAGGCATTCAACCCGAGTTCTATGTCGAGACAATCAACGACTTCTACCCTGGAGTTGCGAGGTGAGTGGGTTCGTCGCCGCTACTACTCCTTTTCCACGCCGTCTGTGACATGACATTCGGATGTTGCAAGGCAACAGTTTACGGGTTGATTTAAGAACGTTTGTCAGAGTTTTCCACCGACTCTGACTTGACACGGGCACAGAAACACTGTGCCCTGCACTGTCTGCACGGACGTGCTGTACAAACGATTTTCCACGGCGTGTCATCCGCATAAAAGCTGATGCTTTTGGGAGGACAGGCCGAGACTGGCCATGCGAGCAGGAAGCAAACGAGTCAGCCCGGTTGTCGTGCTTTCGATTCACTCTGCGACCGTGTCCGCTGAAGTCATGTGTAACTGTAAATGCTTGCGCGCTCGGGCGCAGCTCCCGTTTGGGGTTCTTGGAGAGTTTTGAGGGCCAAAAGCTTCCAAACTGAAGGGCCCCAGGGCAGGCCTGGAACCCCGCAGCTTCGGATTGCCCCTCCAACGGTTCCGGCAGGTCGCACAGGTGGGGTGGGCCGGGGGGGGGTGGACGGCTGGGTCCCGCCAGATTCCGCAGATGCCCCTATTTCGCAGCTCAAGGAAAGCAGGACGAGTTAGATGTTTCTTCATCTGAGCCGCAGACTCATTCCTCCAAAGCCCCGTATGCTGATATTCAGTAGCTGCATGCCAAACTCAATTCCTGTTGCCGTCGCATGTCAAGGCACCCCCAAGCAGGCTCAGTGGATCTGGGGAATGTTAGAACACATTTCTAGGAGACCTGTGAAGCAGTTCAAATGTCACAAGCGAAGAAGTTGGACGATCCGTCCAGTCTTCTTTCCAACATTGATGTCTTCATCTTCGATTGTGACGGAGTTATTTGGCGTGGGGACACACTTATCCCTGGAGTCCCATCAGTTCTGGATCAGCTGCGTCTCGCTGGAAAGAAGATTTTCTTTGTAACCAATAACTCGACAAAGAGTCGCGTGGGATACAAGTCGAAGTTCACGTCTCTGGGCCTGGATGTTCACCCGGAAGAAATCTTCTCCTCGTCCTTCGCTGCTGCAGCCTATTTGGAACAGACAAATTTCAAGCAAACTGGCAAGAAGGTTTACATCATTGGAGAGAAGGGAATCAGTGAAGAGTTGGATGCTATAGGCATTTCCTGGCTCGGTGGAGAAGCGGACAAAGCAAAGCAGCCTGACATGGGCCCTGGCGGCAGGGTGGAGGTAGACCACAACGTGGGTGCAGTGGTGGTTGGCTTTGACCGGCACATCAACTACTACAAGCTGCAGTATGCCCAATTGTGCTTGAACGAGCTGCCAGGATGCGAGTTCATCGCCACGAATTTGGACCGTGTGACCCACCTCACCGATGCGCAGGAGTGGGCTGGAAATGGAACCATGGTCGGAGCTGTTTCCGGATGCACTGGCCGGGAGCCTACATTGGTGGGCAAGCCGGCCCCACTCATGATTGATTACATCTCCAAGAAGTACGGTATCACGGACCGGTCTCGCATCTGCATGGTCGGCGACAGGTTGGACACGGACATCGCTTTCGGCCGCAACAACGGACTGAAGACCTGTTTGACTCTTTCCGGCGTGACTTCTGAGGACGAGCTGATGGACCGCGTGCCTCGCAAGAAGGGAACGGAAGGCATTCAACCCGAGTTCTATGTCGAGACAATCAACGACTTCTACCCAGCACCAAGCGACAGTTAAAGCACGTCAGCCTGCTCTAGTTCTCCAAGTTGGCAGCGAAGCACAACGCGCAAAATCCCCATGAGCACTTGCGCATGCATCTGAGAAGGCGTCAACACGCAGGTAATGTGAGGAGCTGCGATGCGAGATCTTGGAATTTGTTCGACCTTGGAATGCATTAACTAAAACAATACACACCTTGTGGAGTCGCCCGCGCTGCGGCTTCACAAGGCATCAAAACTTGCACCCCTTAAGGATGGTCGTTTCTGTCACGCGCAAGCATTGGCTCGAGAGAATGCTTGAGATAGTGAGACTCTGGCTGAATCGGTCCGGTACTCCTGTGGCTTTGGCTGCCGGGTTGCTCCTCTGGCCACCATCTCAGTTGAGGAGCTTCGGGGAAGTCTCAATCTGCGCAGGGACCTTGCGACTACTTCGGCGTCTGTTTGGATTGGCCCTGTTGCATATGTTGTGGCAGTGGTAGCAATGGCAATAGGCTTTTTCCCACTGCTCACATCAGGTCGGAAGTGGCCCGGGCGGCAGGCTACGGCTTGTCAACGGACCGATGCGCATTCTGCCAGTGGCTTTTCCTCTGGCAAAAGAAAAATGCGTCTTCTTTTTTTGATTGATTGAGTTTTTTTTTTGCATGCAGGCGCCCTGGACGACATCAACTCCCTCGGGTCGGCTGCGACGTCCAGCACAGCCAAGGCCCCCCTTTTGGGGGGGCTCCCTTCTTCTCTCTTTGGGGGCCCTTTTTCTTTGGGGGCCTCCTTTTGGTAGTTTGCCAGAGCAAAATTGCAGAAATGTCTAAGAGGTCTCATTTTGTCTCGTGTTTCAGAATGGTCTTTTATGGTTTTTGTGAAGGACGCGTGGAGCTCAAGCAGCCGCCTTGGCGGCCTCAGGACTCGGTCCAGTGCCGACGGGAGCATCTCCGTCTCTGTACTTGAGGTGCTTGGTTTGGTTAAGGTCGGTATGGGTCGGCTGCTCCAAAGGGATTCTGGAAGGATTTGCAGGGGTCATACGTTTCAACCAAGCCTGACACTTATGCTCTAGTGTAAGATCTTGAGATGGCCCTTGGGTCCTGCTGCATCTTACCTGCCTCCGGCCCGTGGGAGGTGCACTTCCTGGCCGATTCGGAGATTTCCGACACAGATCGCGAAGCAGCGAACTTGCTCGCGGCAACAAGAGACGTTGTCGGAGATGCTGTCGGAGAAGCCGGAGCAGGGTCTGTACATGTGTGGACCACGGTCTTGGAGATGAGCAGCGCGATTGCCAGTGGCCTGAGCGGTGTCAATCAGATCGTCATCCCAGAGATGGAAACCGGTTCCTTGTCGGAGGTGCTGTCGGAGTCAGAGAAGTCCCAGCTGAGTCAGCTCATCCAAGCTGGGCGGCACCTCATTGTGCATGGGTGTGATGGACATCCAGAATCGCAGCGGGCAGCAGGCTTGCTCAATGACTTGGCGCCCTGGGGCATGAGCACTGGGAGTTGGACCCATGCTGGCTCCTTCACGAGGTTGCTGGGCGGTGGTGGCTTCCAAAACGGTCCGCCGACGCTGCCCGGACTCAATGCGATATGCCCCACTGACTCAGCGCCAGCAACGGCAGATGGGCTGTATGATGGGCCTGATGGAAAGACTGTGGCTTGGACTGCTCCGCACGGCGCAGGCCGCATCACCTACATGGCTTATGACTACTTTGCTGGCACAGGAGACGACAACTGGCATGCGCTGCTGCAGAGCTCCCTGACGTTCTGGGCTGACGCGCTTCATGAGGCTCCGCATTCCGCTCGTCGTGGTGAAGGGATAGATAAGGGTAGGTTGGGTTTGTGTTTTTTGCACTGGCGATCACGGTTCAGCGATTCAGCCACTCGCTCTACTTCGACACGCTTCGCACACAGGCTTCGTCTGCTTTGGCATACAATTTGTGCTTCAGTTGAGACTCCAGTTGGAGAAGTTATCACCTTTCTGAACTAGCAACACAATTCTATTCTATGTTCATCACCATCATCGTTCTCATCGCTCCAGTTGAAAGTTCCCGCTCCAGAGCTTCCATGCGCATTGCACGTATCATGGCGCCTGCCGAATGAAGAGGGGGGGAGCTGCCAAGTATCCATGTGGCCTGCGTCCCTTCTTGCCTTGTTTGCCGTTTTCACAGGTTTTCCTTTGTCGTGTGTTTTGGATGGGGTCAAAATAAGTCGGAATACAGAAATGCCAAAATGCTTCCCGCGGCACGAACTCCTTGTACTTCGGTTGAATTGGGCAGTATTTTGGGCGAAGGAGAAGCTTTTGCTGCCTTTGCTACGGAGTCCAGCAGCTCGTAGCAGCTCTCATGTAGCCACAAATTTTGTTTGGGCACCTGCAATTAGCCTCACGAGCCTCCTGCTATGTCGACAGGCACCAGTCACAACTGGTCAAAACATGCAAAAGGAAAGGGGAAGAGTTGCTGTTGGGACATCACGTCACGAGCCAGGGGATATACCATTTCAGCATGGGACACTAGAAGCAAGCAGCTCAACTTTTGCACAGCGCTCAAAAGACAATCCATGCCAAGACCTGAGAATGACTATGAAACAGTCTCGAGCAAGTGAGTCAGGACTGATTTCCGAAACCAAATCAAATGACTTCATGTGTCTAATACCTGCAATATGTTCAGCAGCGGCCCGATGCTTGGCCAAGACTCGTAGGAAGACACCTTTGAATCTGCGAACAAATTCTCCAACAGTCATCTCATGATCACAAATCCCTGGAAACAGGCCATATGTCGCCGCAATTCAACCCCGCTTAATCTTAACAATACCACAGTGTACCATTTGAAGCGACTAAGAATACCGTTGAAAAAGACCGCCCTTCGGAAGGCTGGAGCGACCACAACCTCCCTAGATCGTGCTGTCAAGGTTTCTGCTTATACTTTAAAGAGTCTTTAAAGCAAGAACACTTGCTCCAACCTGCCGACTTGCCTAATGCAACAGGACTGTCCACAGTTTGGTTTGCTCTTCCCCGTTTCGCGTAGCTGGACGACGAGTGCACGCATAAGATAACTTAGCACTGCTGAAAGGTTGCATGGCCCTATCATTACAACAAAATCGGGGGCAACATCAAACTCCGACAAATCTTTACGCGCAAGCAGGGTTGCCACAGCATGCGTTTGAATGTCAATTGCTCGATAAATGAAAGGCTTGAGCTCCTGCAGGTTTGCCAAGAAAGTTTCGCCGGCTTTTTTTTGGCACTTCTATCAGCAAGAGCGTTGCCGCATGTCAAGTACGAAGGTTGCGCCGTGCATCAACTTGGCACATGAGCTTTCGCCTTGATGAACTTGATATCACAATCAAGCCTGTTGTGAACCTCATCAAGAAATGCGGCCCACAAGTCAAAATGCTAGGCTGTCACTATACTCAATAGGCTCGATAGGATTCGACTGATGCCACACGCATCTATTCGCCAAGCTCTGCCTTCTCACATTTCTGCCACAATTCCTCTGTTGCTTTGCTCAGATGTCGACAAACACCACCACCGCAGCCAATGCCGGTTCGCCGGCGCCCTAGTGGTCCAGCAGGCCCACAGTAGGCCCCCCCCCCCCCTGCCCCAGATCTCCCAAGTTCTGTACAAGGTCAAGCACCTCGAGCTCGTCCATGAGGTCCATGACCACCACGCCCGACTCTAAGAAACTATTGTACGCATTTGTGTTCTACGTTGTTCGATTCCGCTGTAGCGCTGTAGCTGGGCGCTTGTGGCTTTCAGTATTTGCACTTTCCCATGCAGCGGAATCCTTCAGAATCCAAGCTAATTGAGATGCGGCATGATATACAGCGCTTTGGAAGCATGTCGCTAGACCCTCGAACCCGCGAGCCTGAAACCCACAGATGAAAGCATGCGTAAGGCTTGGAACATTGTCTGGAGCTGTGAGACACTGCATGACACTGCGTTTTTTGTGGAAGGGCCAAGATTGAAAGCTGTCTTCGGAGCAACTGCCCTACGATGCTCAAGAAGCCCCATCACCGGTGGCACGGCCGAACCCCACAGTTGAGCTACTCGTAGGGTTTGAGCCATAGCCAAAGTCCATCACTTTGCCGCAGCCCTCCAGCGTCCCGCAGAGACTGGACGGCCATCCGAATGATGACCAACGAGAGCATTAGTCACTGTGCAAAGAGAAGGCATGTAGGTTTGAACGAAAGAACCGTCTTCTGAATTTGCAGCACAAGACACACTCCCTGAACTCACTAGAGAGCACTTCGAACTCTTGACTCTTTTGGCAAAAGATGGGACCTTGCTTTGAGCGCTAAATTGGCCCCATGCTGCTTGCAGCTTTTTGTAACGATTGCCAAGCCACGCCTGTTTTTCTTGTTTGGGGCATTCAGAGAAGTCGCTGCGGTCTAGTTGGCATTAGGGAACAACATCTTGGCAAATGACATGCCCGATAATTCTCCAATGTTCTCCATGTTCTGGTCCTGAGTCGCAAAAGGATGGTCGCCACACCCCCAGCCGCACCCCAGCCCCAGCAAAAGCACACAGGCCTTAAAAAAGAAAGTGAGCAATTTCGTTAGGTCGCAGCAAGACGTTTGCGGCACAGCCGAAGCTTCAGTAACTTGCGTCACCTTTGCTGACGGTGTTTGCGTAGGCACTGCGAGAGAAATCTGCTGTCTCGCACGATCCCCAACGTCAGCACCTATAGGATCGTATGTCACATTGCGTAATTATGACTCTCTGGCTCCTCACGCCTCTATCCGCACCAGGAGTAGGACTCCAGGCTGAGGCAGGCGGCTCGCACATGAAAAGAACACGAGGAACGCTGAAAAAATCGGCGTCACGACCATGACAGGTTGTACCTCCTCCATAGAACCTGTATATACCTGTATAAAGCCTTGTGCTGCAGGCCATGTGAAACAACTTCCCATCCGCTTCCCGTGCTGATTTCAAAGCTCCGCGAAGTCTCGTTTGCCAAGGACAAGCACAACGCTGACAGCCCTTGCCTTGCCCTTAGTTTGTAGTCTTGTGACATGTCCCGCAGCTTCGACGTAGCCTGGAGTACCGACTCCCCGGCAGGTTGAATGGTTCCAGATAAATGGATCTGGATTTGTCCCGTCTGCGCGGTACAGCCACGTGTCTTCCACGGATGCTGGGCGGTTCTGGGTTTTCGGAGGCAGCTCGCATGCTCTGGGCACTGTGGGCTGGGCATGGCTGGGCACCGTTTCAGAATGCTTGTGAAGCGTATGCCTCAGCCGGTTGCTGCCTTTGGCAGGAACAGACCACTTGGGCGTCGACAAGAGTGACCTTTGGCACTACACATTGGAGGCAGGGCCTATGTAGACTATAGACACTAAAGTGGCCATGACGACTGGCGAAGAACTGCTCAATAAGAATCACTGCACTTCACGGAGCTTCAGACGTAGACGAAGATGCGAGATGATGCGAGGTTGGTTGGACTCTTGCGGACGCCGCATCTGGACCTGCCGCACGTTGGATGCACTCCGCCGCTGCAGCCGACGGGCGCTTCTGGGTGTTTGGAGGAGACTCAGCAGCAAACAAGGTCGTGCCACAATGGCCACAACACTGTCTAACAACTGCAGGAGATACTGTGAGATGGTGAGCCTTCGAGTCGTTGTTCTCAATCTTTCTTGCGGTGGAGAGCGCTTGAGACCATATTCCATCCTCCATCTCCAGCTTCTTGTCCTCTGTGCGGCTAGCATGTTGGAGACCTGGGCTTTCGATTAGTTACCATTCCCAGCACGTGGGATTTCAGCTTCCATGCGAAAATTTTGAAAAGGGACAGCGTCACCTCGGACGTCGCTTTACCTCCCCATACGCAGCGTGCATCTCGAATGTCTGGGCTTCCTGAACTTCAGCTAAGAGAAGCTAAGGGACCTTCGTCCGTCTCGATTCGGAGCATTTGCAGCTCGCCCCTGTTTTAGCCATGCTCGAGCCAGGATATGCGCGGTCACCTGCCTCCTTGTTTGGGGACCTTTGGTGCTTCGAGAATGAGGCTGGCGCGTTCTAAACATTTTGAGATTCATACAAGCCTCTCTCTTATTCTCACTCTGGTAGTCAATAGGCCCCCCAGGCGCAGGGCTTGAGTACACCAAGACATCCAGAATCCAAGACGTGAAAGTAAAATTTTTGTACACATCACTTGATACTCAACTCACTTGCTACCAGAGGCCTGGAGCAAGATCGAGGGCACCCCGAGCCCATCAGCACGCTTTGGCCACGTTTCGGCCATGGCCCTGACCCGCTTCTGGGTGTTTGGAGGCTGAGGGAATTTTGCGTTTTGCATGTTCAATGTTTTGAGGTCCAAAGGGATGAGAGTCAGTCACTAGGACTCTACGGGTCCTGAGAGGCTTGACAGCCAGGCTGGAGGCTGAAGGAATTCTGCGTTTTGCGTGTTCAGTGTTCTGGGGGTCCAAAACCTGAGAGGCTTGACTGCCAGGTTTCGCAGCAGATGTTGCGTGCATTTGTTTGTGCATCCCACTCGACGCCCTTGGTTGCAGGTAATGACTTTCGCATCAGTGGCCTCAACGACTTGTGGTACTTCACGCCCGAGGCCCTCTCAAGTTTACGATCCTAAACTTCAGCCCGATTGTAAACCCTCATTTAGCCTTTCGTCGTCGTTTATCTACTTTCAGAATCTCTTGAGGCAAGGCAAACTCAAGTTTGGACAGACTGCGCAAGAAAAATGCGCTTCCCCACGAAATCCGTCACGATTCGTCAGCATCCGTCAATGCTTCCATAATTCAAAGAAATCATCCTTTGTGGCCAAGTGCCTTTGGGGTTGTCTCCTTGTTTTTCTGCTCAGGTCGGATGGGCGCAGGCCTTCGGTCCCGGCGATGGCTCGGTCTGGCCCTCGGCACGCCAAGTGGCTGGCGTGGGAGCAGACCGAGACGGCGGCCTCTGGATCTTTGGAGGTCGGGAGAATGGGGAACGAATGGAACAGGAACCTCAAGTTTTTTCAGCCGGTAAGTGGGGTTGCTAGATTGTAAGGACGAAGCCGCATCATGTGACGCGTGCTCAGGACAGCCGGCTAGAATGGCTCAAGTGGGCAAATGTACCAGATTGTTGCTTGCATCAAGAGGCTAGGGAGGGGCAACTGTGAAGACACAGGCCAGGGAGTCTCAGCTCCGAAAAGCTTCAGAAGCGGGCATGGGAGTAGTCAAGGGCGGCGAATAATGTTTGGTTTTGTCATGTGCTTGGATGCAGAGGTCCGGAATTGGCGCCTCTGTCAAGAGTTCAATACTTGGCAGTGGGGGGTAGCACAGAAGTATGCAGACATTTACACAAAAACACAGAGAAACAAAGAAAATATATTTACAGTTTGTACTGCTTGTACTACGCACTGTTCTACTTGCAGCCACAACTATTCGCGTGAACTTTCAGAGGGTTTTCGCCACTCGCTGTGCCATCATTTGAGGATGTAGTGGGATTGGGATGGCTTGTCATGGTCATGGCCGGTTAGGGCGTCTCGCGGAGAGCTGCGTATCCGAAGGTGAGAATGCGCCTTTCAATCAGCCGTTCATGAGCAACGACTTGTGGCACTTTACGCTCCAGGTGGGGCCGGGACAGCAGAGTTTGCAGATGGCAACGCGAGGCAACCTACGCGTAGGACTATAGACTAGAGTTGCTTTTGCTTTTGACGCTCACACGTGCCACGCATCCACGTTTTGGGGCGACGGCTTAAGGCTGATGTCGACCTAAGCACCCCGAATTTTGTAGACTCGTTGCTTTTCAGCATGTGGCGACTTAGGCCGGGTGGAGATTGTTGGATGCCGGCTCCGGCCCGTCGGTGCGAGGAGGGTGCAGCTCTGCGATGGATGCCTCCGGCAAGTTCTGGGTCTTCGGAGGCCGCAAGCAGAAACGAGCCAAAGCCGCAGAACGCAGCAATGTTGCAGCAATATTTTCTGAGAGAAACATATAGCGCCTGCAGTTGCAGCAGCGGCAGCTTTGCCATTCCATTTTCGCAGCTCTTTCTTCTGTTCCTGTGCAGGCTTCGACTACGCCACGATACTGAACGACTTGTGGTTTTTCAAGGAGGCAGGACCCCGACAGAATTTCGGGGGAGGCCAAAGCCGAAGCCTTAAGGTGGGGCTAGAAATGACTTGGTAGTGTGCAGAGGAATGCAGATAATGCAGTCACAGTCCAAGGCATGGTCTTAAGAAAAGTCCAAATCAGTAGAGTTAAAGCTACAGCCTATGTACTGCTTTTGTACCCTTTTGTATGAAAAGTTCAAACACTGTCCTTTCGAATGCAGCCTAGTGCTGGTATCTGAAATCGACACGGCGAAACGTGGGCTTCTGGATTCTAGCGTGCCTGTCTGTGTTTTCCAAGATCTGTACGTGTTCTGGGGAGGCGGGTGACCACGCGCGCGCACAACAGTACATGAACGCGATGAAGTGCAGTTCTGCAATGGCTAGAGGCTAGAGGCCCAAACCACACGGATGCAGTACTTCATCTGGCATCGCTGCTACGCATCTCCGGAGATTGTTTGCATTGTCGTCGGCGGCACAAGATAGTTGCAACAGAAGAGCAGACCGCAAAAACCTGCAAAAGCCTTGAAGCCACAGGAAATCGGGATGTAAGAGGAACGGTCCTGATTAAAGAAGGGTCGGTGCTCCTGCAGGAGGCTGGCTGGGCCCGTGTCGAGGGCTCTGCTGGGTCCGCTGTCCCTGCGGCGCGGTTTGTGCACTCCTCGGCCACAGATGCCTCAGGACGCCTGTGGGTTTTTGGAGGCGGGCAACATAGTTCTTGGAGTTTGCTACTAGTTTGGTATTCTTCAGTTTTCGTACTGTAGGAAGTCCAGGGCCCACTAGATGCTTGGGGCTTGCGCCGGCTTGCGCCGATTCTCGAGGCTACAATGGAAGCTTCGGATCTTGCTGCTCCCTGAACGACTTGTGGTATTTCGGTCCCGAGGCAAGGCCCCGCCATGCTTCGCCATGCTCCGTCTCCCTCCGACACTGAATTAGGGATAAGTTTAGGGAGGAAATGTGGTTGTGGAGCGATGTGGGATGTCCTGTAGCTGCACGTGGCTGCTTGAATTTCTCCTGCTCTGCAGCAGATCTCCAGCGCAACTGCCTCCAGCAGCACCTCCAGATCTACCACATCGAGCACGTCAACTTTAACATCAAGTTTTTCAATCAGCACCAGCAGTACCACGAGGTCTTCCAGTACATCTAGAACTGCCTCCGGCAGCACCTCTACATCCACCACATCCACCACATCCAACACGCCAACTTCGACATCAAGCTCGTCCATGTCAAGCAGTGCCAGTTCATCCACAGGCTCTGCCTCGTCTTCATCCACGTCTGCTTCCACCAGCTCGACGAACAGCATGTCGACATCAAGCAGCACAAGCACCAGCTCAACATCTTCATCTAGCAGCAGCTCAAGCAGCCCAACGACACCCTCGTCCACATCCACCGCAAGCACGACTGCTTCCAGCAGCAGCACAAGCATCTCCAGCAGTAGCAGCACCTCCACAGCAACCTCCACCAGCAGCAGCACGACATCTGCCAGCAGCATCTCTACGTCCACCACATCAAGCACGTCAACTTTGACATCAAGTTTTTCAATCAGCACCAGCAGTACCACGACGTCTTCCAGTACATCTAGAACTGCCTCCGGCAGCACCTCTACATCCACCACATCCACCACATCCACCACATCCAACACGCCAACTTCGACATCAAGCTCGTCAATGTCAAGCAGTGCCAGTTCATCCACAAGCTCTGCCTCGTCTTCATCCACGTCTGCTTCCACCAGCTCGACGAACAGCATGTCGACATCAAGCAGCACAAGCACCAGCTCAACATCTTCATCTAGCAGCAGCTCAAGCAGCCCAACGACACCCTCGTCCACATCCACCGCAAGCACGACTGCTTCCAGCAGCAGCACAAGCATCTCCAGCAGTAGCAGCACCTCCACAGCAACCTCCACCAGCAGCAGCACGACATCTGCCAGCAGCATCTCTACATCCACCACATCGAGCACGTCAACTTTGACATCAAGTTTTTCAATCAGCACCAGCAGTACCACGACGTCTTCCAGTACATCTAGAACTGCTTCCGGCAGCACCTCTACATCCACCACATCCACCACATCCAACACGCCAACTTCGACATCAAGCTCGTCAATGTCAAGCAGTGCCAGTTCATCCACAGGCTCTGCCTCGTCTTCATCCACGTCTGCTTCCACCAGCTCGACGAACAGCATGTCGACATCAAGCAGCACAAGCACCAGCTCAACATCTTCATCTAGCAGCAGCTCAAGCAGCCCAACGACACCCTCGTCCACATCCACCGCAAGCACGACTGTTTCCAGCAGCAGCACAAGCATCTCCAGCAGTAGCAGCACCTCCACAGCAACCTCCACCAGCAGCAGCACGACATCTGCCAGCAGCATCTCTACGTCCACCACATCAAGCACGTCAACTTTGACATCAAGTTTTTCAATCAGCACCAGCAGTACCACGACGTCTTCCAGTACATCTAGAACTGCCTCCGGCAGCACCTCTACATCCACCACATCCACCACATCCACCACATCCAACACGCCAACTTCGACATCAAGCTCGTCAATGTCAAGCAGTGCCAGTTCATCCACAAGCTCTGCCTCGTCTTCATCCACGTCTGCTTCCACCAGCTCGACGAACAGCATGTCGACATCAAGCAGCACAAGCACCAGCTCAACATCTTCATCTAGCAGCAGCTCAAGCAGCCCAACGACACCCTCGCCCACATCCACCGCAAGCACGACTGCTTCCAGCAGCAGCACAAGCATCTCCAGCAGTAGCAGCACCACCACAGCAACCTCCACCAGCAGCAGCACGACATCTGCCAGCAGCATCTCTACATCCACCACATCGAGCACGTCAACTTTGACATCAAGTTTTTCAATCAGCACCAGCAGTACCACGACGTCTTCCAGTACATCTAGAACTGCTTCCGGCAGCACCTCTACATCCACCACATCCACCACATCCAACACGCCAACTTCGACATCAAGCTCGTCAATGTCAAGCAGTGCCAGTTCATCCACAGGCTCTGCCTCGTCTTCATCCACGTCTGCTTCCACCAGCTCGACGAACAGCATGTCGACATCAAGCAGCACAAGCACCAGCTCAACATCTTCATCTAGCAGCAGCTCAAGCAGCCCAACGACACCCTCGTCCACATCCACCGCAAGCACGACTGCTTCCAGCAGCAGCACAAGCATCTCCAGCAGTAGCAGCACCTCCACAGCAACCTCCACCAGCAGCAGCACGACATCTGCCAGCAGCATCTCTACGTCCACCACATCAAGCACGTCAGCTTTGACATCAAGTTTTTCAATCAGCACCAGCAGTACCACGACGTCTTCCAGTACATCTAGAACTGCTTCCGGCAGCACCTCTACATCCACCACATCCACCACATCCAACACGCCAACTTCGACATCAAGCGCGTCAATGTCAAGCAGTGCCAGTTCATCCACAAGCTCTGCCTCGTCTTCATCCACATCTGCTTCCACCAGCTCGATGACAAGCACTGGCTCAACAGCTTCGTCTAGCAGCAGCTCAAGCAGCTCAACGACATCGTCGTCGACATCCACCTCAAGCGCTGCACCTTCCGGAAGCAGCACAAGCATCTCATCCACAACCTGCACGACTTCACTATCCACGGCAATCCCCACCAGCGCCGGCATGACATCCTCCAGCAGCACCTTTACGTTCTTCGCATCCAGCACGGCAACAACTTCAAGCCACACGAGCAGCACCTATACATCGCTCTCATCTTTCTTCTCACCAGACAGAAGCGCTACAAGGTCGTCAAGTGCAACTTCCACACGGACGCATCACGCCCAGCTGCACCCTAGAGCACGGCACTGCCGAATGCATCGTGAGTGAGCGTTTCCCTTGTGACATTGTATGCGCCGAGGGCTACAACCGAGACTTCCACAAGCCCGCATCGCACCCAGCGGCACGTAGCACAGTCCTCCCTTTGTGCCGGACAAGCCTATGATGTGCAGTGATGTGCAGTGTCTTGCAGCGTCTTTTGCAGTTTCTTCAGCACGTGCAGAAGGCAGCCGAGCACGACCAGTGCAACGCAGACGGTCACATTGCCTGAGCCTCAGATTTAAACTCTAGTAAGAGGTTGCTTTGGCTGGTTCGGAGTCGATCCAATTCACAACCTTCTGGTTCATGGCCAGGGACTTAGCCCCTTTCCTCCCGCTTCAGGCGCCGTGCATGTGTTTGCATGAGTTCGTTGCACCATGCTACGAAAGAATCTGTTGCCATGTCAGGGCGCAGTGGGGAACCCTGTGCAAGCAGCGCAAGCGGCAAGTTGGCCAGCAGCTTCCTAGCCAAATTCGGTTCATGGCGGCTTCTGTCAAGTTTGCCTTTCGCTTTTCCAACCTTGGCTCCGCGGCTGCGGCGACGCGTGTAGACATGTGTAGACCAGCATGGCCCACCCCTTACAGCGCGCGGCAGTGCTTTTCACTGGCTGAGGTCCTCTTTGCCCTCGTCGCTGCTTGCATCTGTGGCTTTGGCTCCTGCTGTGTTTGGGTCTCGTGCTCGGCTTGCTGCAAGCCACTGCAAGCCATTCTTGCTTGTGCTTGTTCCTGCTTGTTCTTTCGTTGGAAGTGAGGTGCGGCGGCGGAAGGGACTCTCGAGAGTGGACGTGAAACCTGTGAAAGCAATGGGGAGCGATCGAAGTCGAAGCGAGGCCGGAGCGTTGATGCCGAGACTGCCGAGAGACGAGATGTACCTCGAGCCTATTGTTCGATGGCCTTGACAACGCGAGGCATTGCATGGGGTGGCCCCGCGTTCAAATCTCCCTCTGTGCAGGAGTTCAGCGAAATCCTGCCCTCTGAGAAAGCCGAGGAGGCACCAGCGAAAAGGAGGTGAAAGGCTTGGGCTACAGTACAGGTTTGAGATGCGGCTGACAGGTGCCACGAACCCGTGAAAAGTCAAGAATGCGGAAGGAGAAAGATCATGAATCACAGATAGGACGTATGGCCATCTACGGTACTTAGCATCATACATGAGCAACAGCCAAGACTTGTTTCTGCTGCATTGGCCAGCCTGCCCAGTTTGCAGCGTTCAGTCGGGACCAAACGCGTGCCACCAGAAGCCAGACCGACTGACACATGAAACCTCATCAAACTCTACGCCGTGCCTCGGGGCGAGGGCGAAAGCTGGCCCCATTCAGGCATCCGAGGCGATGTGAACGTGTCTTCATCGATGTGCGCGACAGCTTCCCTGGGGGTCCAAGGGTGGAGTGACGACATGCGACGACGGGCCTGTCTTCTGATTCTTTTGCCCCCGTAGAATTCCGAGACTCTGCTTTTTTTCAGCAGGATAAGTACATCTACTGGGTGTATGGTGACGCGTCTCGTGCTGCTGGCACGGATGCCATTGCTGGGGCTTTGGCCTAATCACAACCCCGCCGCGCCATACCATCCCCCAATTGGGGTTTCGGATTGTGTCTGTGTTGATGCTGGGACATACCAGATTATATAATGTCAGAGGGTCCAGCGCTGGCCAAAATGCCATTCATTGCAAAACCCCCAAGACATGCTTGCTAACCTCTGAATTAGTACAGTCATGGTATGATGAAGATGATATGATGATGTGGTATGATGTGATGATGGTGTGTCAGGCTGTTTGGAATGGCCATTGCCTTGCGCGGGAGTTGGCGCAGCTTGCGTTGGACCACACCTGCGACGGGGATGTCGAGTGGCGCGTCGCCGAGATCTGCAAGAACTGGGAGGAACGACAGCTGTCTGAGCGGGGCATTGGGGCTGAATCTGCCACGGCTCTGCACCTGCATCAGACGATGAGCTCCTTCCAGACCAGGGTCTTGGGTGAGTTGGAGACCATTCGTGCTGGCATGCCAGCTTCCAGAGATACAGGCGAGAGGTTTCATGCCGCTCTTCTTCACGCATGGGAGGAAGTGATGCATGGAATAGACTGCAGCCACAGCCTGTGTGAGGACGTAGACCAGCCGGAGGCACGGTGAAAGTTGGCCACGAAATCTGTCTTGCTGCATGAGTTAATTTCCAAATGTATGTATCTCCTGCTGTTGAAGCAACTCTGTTCCCTAACGCAGTAAACAGCCAAGACAACCAACGAGCCTCTCAATAAACCTTCCTGTGATTTCCTGAGTGAGAGACAGAGGGAGGAGGGAGCGAGGGAGGGGAGGGCGGGGAGGGAGGGAGCGCAATACAGACAATGGCCCTTGCGAGGCCCGATCAGCTAGCGAGGCAAGTGCTGAGCTGCAGGAAGTCAAGACTGTTGAGGCTTCGCCGGATGCGGCACTGGAAGTTTGCAAAGCAACCCCTGCTGGCGAGCGAGACGATGTTGATTTGGCGCGAGCTGCGTCCGAATCGAATGAGTCGGTTGAACTCATAGAAGAGCCGGCGTCCGTGAACGTTGAAATCGGAGAAAACATGAAGGCTTCTCACACCGCAGACGGCACGGACTGTGTGAACGACGAAGACGGGCATCGCCTTGCGCTGGAATTGGCGCAGCTTGCGTTGGACCACACCTGCGACGGGGATGTCGAGTGGCGCGTCGCCGAGATCTGCAAGAACTGGGAGGAACGACAGCTGTCTGAGCGGGGCATTGGGGCTGAATCTGCCACGGCTCTGCACCTGCATCAGACGATGAGCTCCTTCCAGACCAGGGTCTTGGGTGAGTTGGAGACCATTCGTGCTGGCGTGCCAGCTTCCAGAGATACAGGCGAGAGGTTTCATGCCGCTCTTCTTCACGCATGGGAGGAAGTGATGCATGGAATAGACTGCAGCCACAGCCTGTGTGAGGACGTAGACCAGCCGGAGGCACGGTGAAAGTTGGCCACGAAATCTGTCTTGCTGCATGAGTTAATTTCCAAATGTATGTATCTCCTGCTGTTGAAGCAACTCTGTTCCCTAACGCCGTACACAGCCAAGACAACCAACGAGCCTCTCAATAAACCTTCCTGTGATTTCCTGAGTGAGAGACAGAGGGAGGAGGGAGCGAGGGAGGGGAGGGCGGGGAGGGAGGGAGCGCAATACAGACAATGGCCCTTGCAAGGCCCGATCAGCTAGCGAGGCAAGTGCTGAGCTGCAGGAAGTCAAGACTGTTGAGGCTTCGCCGGATGCGGCACTGGAAGTTTGCAAAGCAACCCCTGCTGGCGAGCGAGACGATGTTGATTTGGCGCGAGCTGCGTCCGAATCGAATGAGTCGGTTGAACTCATAGAAGAGCCGGCGTCCGTGAACGTTGAAATCGGAGAAAACATGAAGGCTTCTCACACCGCAGACGGCACGGACTGTGTGAACGACGAAGACGGGCATCGCCTTGCGCTGGAATTGGCGCAGCTTGCGTTGGACCACACCTGCGACGGGGATGTCGAGTGGCGCGTCGCCGAGATCTGCAAGAACTGGGAGGAACGACAGCTGTCTGAGCGGGGCATTGGGGCTGAATCTGCCACGGCTCTGCACCTGCATCAGACGATGAGCTCCTTCCAGACCAGGGTCTTGGGTGAGTTGGAGACCATTCGTGCTGGCGTGCCAGCTTCCAGAGATACAGGCGAGAGGTTTCATGCCGCTCTTCTTCACGCATGGGAGGAAGTGATGCATGGAATAGACTGCAGCCACAGCCTGTGTGAGGACGTAGACCAGCCGGAGGCACGGTGAAAGTTGGCCACGAAATCTGTCTTGCTGCATGAGTTAATTTCCAAATGTATGTATCTCCTGCTGTTGAAGCAACTCTGTTCCCTAACGCAGTAAACAGCCAAGACAACCAACGAGCCTCTCAATAAACCTTCCTGTGATTTCCTGAGTGAGAGACAGAGGGAGGAGGGAGCGAGGGAGGGGAGGGCGGGGAGGGAGGGAGCGCAATACAGACAATGGCCCTTGCGAGGCCCGATCAGCTAGCGAGGCAAGTGCTGAGCTGCAGGAAGTCAAGACTGTTGAGGCTTCGCCGGATGCGGCACTGGAAGTTTGCAAAGCAACCCCTGCTGGCGAGCGAGACGATGTTGATTTGGCGCGAGCTGCGTCCGAATCGAATGAGTCGGTTGAACTCATAGAAGAGGCGGCGTCCGTGAACGTTGAAATCGGAGAAAACATGAAAGCCTCTCACACCGCAGACGGCACGGACTGTGTGAACGACGAAGACGGGCATCGCCTTGCGCTGGAGTTGCGACTTGCATTGGACCACACCTGCGACGGGGATGTCGAATGGCGCGTCGCCGAGATCTGCAAGAACTGGGAGGAACGACAGCTGTCTGAGCGGGGCATTGGGGCTGAATCTGCCACGGCTCTGCACCTGCATCAGACGATGAGCTCCTTCCAGACCAGGGTCTTGGGTGAGTTGGAGACCATTCGTGCTGGCGTGCCAGCAGGTTCCCGAGATACAGGCGAGAGGTTTCATGCCGCTCTTCTTCACGCATGGGAGGAAGTGACGTGCCTAGAGAACGACCATGCAGAGTCCTGGCTGGAGATTTTCCTTATCAGGTACCGGTAGTTCCCTATCCCCTCACTTCATGTGTTTCGACATTTTCATGTGTTTGCAACCTGCGGCCTGTGACCCTCTCGATCTGTTTGAACTGTGAGGACCGTTCTGGTGGACTCAAGGGGAAGCCAGGGAAGCCTGCTCCAGAGCTTGGCCCGCTTGAGGAAGGTGACAGAAGCAACGGAATCGACGGAAGCCTCTACAGAAGGATTTCGAAGGATGACATTTTGCATGGATTCGAGCGGCTTCTCCTCGCCTGCCAGACACTGGGCAACAAAAGTGAGCTCAAAAAAAGGCACAAGCTCGGCTGAAACAGCTGAAAATGCATGCGTTTTGCCGTTAAGGAAGGAGACTTCCCGAGATCTGCGATGTGATGTCATCAAGGCCAATTGGCAGAAGGTTTCCTCGCTTTCCTGCATTTGCAATCATCTGCCTGCCGCTCCTCTTACTTTCAGAGGCCTGGGACTGGAAGCGCCTGGCAGGCCCGACGAGTGTTGGCGTTATGGTAGATGGCGATAACACCCAAGCGTGGAAGATGATACGGCGCGGGACGTGGGGGGGGGGGGGGGAGGGCTTCGAGAGCGAGGGAGCCGTGTTGACACTGTCAGAAACAAAAAGTAAATGAAACATCTGACATCTGTAATCACAACACAAGTTTGCAAAGAATGCTTGCGCTGTGTTGCTGTGCGCCGATACATCTCACAACCGATATGTCGAGATGGATTTCCATTTTAATTGAAATCCCCAAGCAATATGACGCAGGGGGCGGACTTGTTTTATCGAGATAGTCGTTGGGATGGTGCGTGTTTCTCACATTGGTTACCACTGAAGCATTGGCGGAGGTGATACCGTCGCGGAGGACATGGCCACATTTGTTGAGGCGGGATGCGCAAGTGAGAGGCTCTGAGCGGGCACGTTCAATCAATCCCTTTGAAGCATGAAAGAATCCGAGGAAGCTGCGTAATAACCCATCTTCCCAAGTCCCAGCTTGCATTCCAGCCATGTTGTTGAGGAAGTCTGGCACAGTAGTGTGGAAGAGCGCAGTGCACAAGGGCCCCAACATGGGAGGAGGTCGCGGAAGCTATATCCAAGGTCGCGAAAGCGGTCCCCACATTGAATTCAGATCATCGCACCAGGCTCTCCTCGACTGTGCAGACGAGGGAGGCAGCTTGCAGAACTGTGCTGCCTGGCAAATGAGGTATGCTGTCAGGGCGTTCTCCCAAACGTCGTTTTCCCTTTGCCCGAGGTATGATAGGACAAGCAGCAGCGCACAGCCGCACGTAGCCGCACGTAGCAGCACGTGGCAGCACGTAGCCGCACGTAGCAGCACGTAGCCGCACGTAGCAGCACGTAGCACACTACATGGGTCCCTTTCAGGACCTTGGCCTGCTGCGGGCGCAGCTCTCGGAGCACTGGCATCCTGATGAGCAAAAGCAGAGAGGGAGAGAGGGAAAAGGAGAGTGAAGTTCATCGGATATGAGTGGACTGAATGGGACAGGGCGGGACTACCTGCTTGTAGTTCATTGTGGAGAAGACGTCATATTTGATTGGTGCTCGCGAGGCGGCTCCTCACAACAGACCTCGCTGCGCCACAGCCCTCTCCGACCACTGCAGGACAGTGTAGAGAGACGACGAGCGACTGTCGGTTGCCCCGTAGGGCCTGCGTGGGCCTGGGGTAGAGTGGGTTTTTTCCTGTTCGTGGAACCTTGGTACCCGCATCTGGAGCAGGGGCGCATTCCCGCAGCTCTCCCGTTGAGACCCGAGCAGCGGCTTTATGACGGCAGCTTGGAAGAAAGTTAACTTAATGCTCCTAAGTCAAAGGTCAGCGGTGTGTGCGGCGCTCTTGGGGGCTCAGAACCTGGCTCGGCCTCGTGCTTACAGCGGAGTCCGCTTGTGGGGGACTAACTATAGAAGTTCATCGCATCCTATGACATCTGGAGGTGGCCTTGCCAGTCAGCGTCGCGTCCTCAGCGCATTCTATGGGATGGCAAAGGTTTGCAACGAACTACTCCAAATCTTCAACAGAAGCTGCTTGTGCTGCAAAGATCTGCAGGATATGATACAAACGACGAATGTGCAACAGAATGAAGAGCTCATCGCCAGCAGCAGCGCCGTGAGGGGCGAGGCCTCCTTTCCAAAACTCCCCCACGCTCTCCTGAAGGTGCCGATTCACTTGGGGATAGGTTTCCGTCAGACAGCCTGCATCAGGTTGGGAATTCATCAAGAAACCAGCGACGTTTCACTTAAAAAGCTCCTGCCCCCTCGATGTCCGTGCTTTCACGAGCTCTAAAGCCTCAGGGGCCCTTGGAGCCTTCAGGCGCTGCGCCCTTGCACGCCGCTCGAAACGACTTTTGAGGGTTCGGAATGGGGATCACTTGAAATTCAAGAAGTCTGAAGAAGGATCCTCCATAATGAAGCATTTTTGGCTGAGAGAGCAGGCGAGGGAATTTTGGAGGTGCGCGGGCTGCTTGTGGAGTTTTAGCTTCGACCGCCTCAGGTTCCTTTGGGCCCTGAAGTCTTCAGAACAACATCCAAACTGCTTGCGGAGCTGGACGACCTCTTCGGGACAGCGTGGGCACGCCCAGGTGCCCGCCCCCCCTCTTAGTGTCACCTCTGAGCCATGAAGTGCCCCTGAGAGTCACTTATACAGTAGCGTCTAGAGTGACACCTTTGGGATGCCCTGTAGAGAGAGAGAGGGAGAGAAAATTAGGGGCGCAGAAAGAAGGAAAGAAAGAAAGAACGAAAGAGCAAAAGAGCGAAAGAACGAAAGAACGAAATAACAAAAAAACACAACAAAAGAACAAATCACCAAAGAACCAAAGAACCAAAGAACCAAAGAACCAAAGAACCAAGGAACCAAGGAACCAAGGAACCAAGGAACCAAGGAACCAAGGAACCAAGGAACCAAGGAACCAAGGAACCAAGGAACCAAGGAACCAAGGAACCAAGGAACCAAAGAACCAAAGAACCAAAGAACAAGAAAGAGAGATTGAGAGAGAGAGAAAGAATGCCATGGAAGGGCAACACCAGCAGGATCATCGGACGAAGCCGCCCTTCGGGGCAGCTTCCCCTTCGGGGAGGGGGGCTCTGCGTATGGAGAGAGAGAGAGAGAGAGAGAGAGAGATGTATATATATAGATATAGATAGATAGAGAGATAGATATAGATATATATATATATATATATCTACATATATATGGAGCCCTCGACCCCGACCAACACGCTCTGCGAAAACCGCGGGGTGGCAATCAGGACTTTGCCCGCCCTGCGGGGCGGCTTCCCCTTCGGGGGGGCTAAGCGTGCAGAGAGAGAGAGAGAGAGAGAGAGAGAGAGAGAGAGAGAGAGAGAGAGAGAGAGAGAGAGAGAGCGCGAGAGAGCGAGAGCGCGAGAGAGCGAGAGCGCGAGAGAGCGAGAGAGCGAGCATGAGCCGGGGCGCACATGCGTTGGGAAGGGGGTGAGAGAGGGAGAGTTCCACGATCATCTGTTTCCAATACTTCTTCGTGAAGTAGGGATTCCAAAGTCGCATCGACGCTAAAAGACAAGCCACGGCCATGTCCACGCGGAAACAGCTGCCGCGACCGCGGCGGCGGAGGAGGAGGAGGAGGAGGAGGAGACAGAGGGGGAAGAGGGCGTGCAGGCAACCAGCAGCAGCACGTGGAGAAGAAAGAGGGATGACGAATCTCTTCCACCGCAAGGTGGCGATACCGCAGGAACAGAGGACAGTGGGAATGCAGAAATGTGCAGACCTAAACATCCTCGATGAGAACTGAGCTCTCAGAGAGCGCTCAGACGAGCAAGCTAGGGTTAGTAGGTTTGGGGGTCAAAGTATCACACGGGATGTGAAGTCATCACCCTAACTACACTCAGAAGCGACAAGCAAGCAAGGGGTAAGGGGGATGGATGGGATGGCTTCCGTGGTTTGGGGGTGGAGGTCTTCGGGGCTTGCAAGTTCCGAGGAAGTGGGGTAGGGTTTGGGGTTTTGCCGTGTACTATTAGTAAAAATTAGGCATGAACCTGGTGATATTGGGCGATTGCGGGAGGACTTCGGGGACTTCAAGTTCCGACGCTGGGGATGAGGTTGGGGGGAGTGCCTTGTGCTCAGGGGCAAAGATGTCCAGAAGTCCAAGGCTGCCTGGCCAAGACAAACGTTTTCCCGGTGCCAACCTTCTCATGTGCCCTGGGTGCGGTTGGGTGCGGTTAGGAGTGGAGGTTTCTCCGGTTGTTGGGGGTGGGCACCCTTGACAGATACACCGAGTACCATCCGAGCACTAAGCTCCTAACGCTGAGTGGGCGGACTTTGCCGGAAACTTGAGGGGACGTAATTCGTGGTAGGGGTTGCAGAATATCCCGTGCCGAGCCGAGAATTTTGCATGATTTCCCCCAAGTCTCTAGATTTTTGTTCTCCGGCCCCTGCACAGGCCTAAGGAAACTCAGGGGGACGCGACGGAAGGGGTTATGAGGGGGGACAGGAGGTGTTGACATCTTCCCCCCCGAGTTTCCGAGTGCAAGGGGCTACCTGGCTAACCTCAGAACGGGGCGGACAGCGCGGGGGGCCCATGAAAGAAAGAAAGAACGAAAGAGAGACAGCGGGACAGAAAGACGGAGAGACAGAGACAGAGAGACAGAGACAGAGAAAAGAGGGAGGGAGGGAGAGAGAGAGAGAGAGCAAAAAAAATTAGAGTTGGATCCCAAGAAATTGCCCGGGCATTGACAAGCTCGGCTTGAGCTACCGAAACTGGAAAACGAGGATGATTGAAACGGCGCGAAAGAAAGTGTGCCTTTATGTGCGTTTGCCGTCGTTTGCCGTGCCACTGCCAGGCGCTGACTTTCATCCCGATGTGGTGCCACTCGGCCAAAGGGTGGGCAAGCAGCTTGAATATTTCAGCTTTTGTCTTCGTTTGCGCCTTCGTTTCCCCTCCTGTTGTTTTAAAGGTCTTCGGAGAAATCCTTGGGTTGTTGTCAAGGTCTTCAGGGAGAAGTCTTTCGGGTCTCGGCGGCCTTGTGCCTTTGCCC